CCCCCCCCCCTTTATAGTTTTTACAGCTCACTTTTTAGGATCTCATTTTAGATCTCCTTCAGGCTCTGTGCGATGTTCTACTTATCTTTTTTCTCTGATAGCTGCTTGCACACTTTCAAAAAACTCCTTAAAAAGGTGTGCAGCACTTGAGTTTATATATATATGTATGTATCGTTTCAATATGGGACCTAATGGGGACTGACTCACTTTTGCAGCCAGCCTCAAGTGGACACTCAGGGAACTGCACTTTTTGTTTTTTTCCTTCTGTGTTTTCTTTATTTTTGAACATAATAGGTCCTCTGTCTGCAGGTTATTTGGACGCCCACGCTCTGGCTCTGGACTTCCTGTCTCTTGGCTTCAGGGAGTGTATGACAGAGGTTTCCCGCTACCTGAGCGCCGTGGAGGGCCTGGACTCTGGCGACCCGCTACGCTCCCGCCTCCTCTCCCACCTCTCATCCTGCGTCTCGCAACGAGAAGCCGCCGCCCTCACCATGACCTCATCACACCCCCACCTCCAGCAGCCGCCTCACCCTTTCCCTCACCCCTTCCACCACCACCACCACCACTGGGCCGCTGCAGTCGCAACTGCGGCTGCGTTTCGACCTGCCGCCGCCGCGCCGTACGGACTGAGCGGGCTCTCTGTTTCTCCTGATGCTGGAGGAGGCGGAGCTCCCCTATCACAGCGCTGCGTAGCCTCCTATGCAGACTCCACCTCCTCCTCCCCTCCTCCTCGTCTCTGATGCTGCCCTGCGCCCCCGGCTCCTCTCTCGGCCTCCCTCCTCTCTCTCTCTGCGTCCTTCCCCATCGCCCTCCACTCAGCTTTCCCCCTTCTCCCCGCCTGCTCTTTCACCTCCTCCGCCACCGCCAGTCCTCCCATCTCCTCCTCCTCCTCCTCCTCCTCCTCCTCCTCCTCACACACTCCTCTCAGCAGCGGTAAACCGTACAGGCCGTGGGGAACTGAGGTCGGAGCTTTCTGACACACACTAACTCCTGACATTTTGACAAACTGACACCTTTAACAGCCTGGAAACACGTAAACCAGCACTGAACACGTTTCTTATAAACACTTTTTGATCTGGTAACGAGTTAACGTTTGAGCTGCTTGTGACTGTGACAGATTTACAATGTACTTCATCCACTCAACTTTTAACATCTTTATCATTAAACCTCCTGAAAGACTAAAAATCAGAATACCTGCTGAAGAGATTTCTGTTTGTTTTGCACCCCAAACTTTTCCATGTTGCTGCTCCTCCTAACCCTGATAGGAACTTTAGAAGGAAGGAGCCACACAACAGTTTCAGTCTTTGTCTTGGATCTTATGTGCAACCACAACACATAGAATTTTCTACTTTTAAACAGAGGGAAGTCTGACGGCTCTTGCTGCCACCGCGTCCCGACCTCGGATAAGTGGAAGAAAAAGAATGGATGGATTTCACTGTGCAGCACTTTTAAAAACAAGGGTCAACAAAGTGCTCTAACACATGAAGATGCAAACATATGAACAATGAATAAGAACACAAACAATATCTGTAACCTAGGCAACATGCACCCCTGAAAATATCCTGATCATTTCAGGAGGGCTGCTCCTCACTTCAACATGTTTCCTTAAAGGTCACATATCCTCCTCCTCCTCTTCAGTGTAAATAAGTCTCAGAGCTCCTCTTCAACATGTGTGTGAAGTTTCTTGTTCTAAATCCACTCTGATCCTGTATTTGATCATGTCTATAAACCCCTCTATTTCAGCCCTGCTCAGAACAGGCTGTTTCTGTGTCTGTACCTTTAAATATGTAAATGAGCTGTGTATCTGACCACACCCCCTCTCTGGAAGGGCTTGGGTGTACTCGGTGCTTTCTCGCTCCATGTCTATTGTTTACGGTGAGAAGGCAGACTCAGAGGGCAGAACAAACACCTAGCTGTGGGAGTGTCACCCACCTGGGGGAGGGGCTACTGCCCTTTGTGATGTCATGAAGGGAAAATCTCCAAACGGCCTGATCACACATTCTCTGAAAAGTGGAGCAGGCAGAAGACTGAGAGGATGGACTTTTCTCATCATCGGGGGGTTTGTAGACGGACTAGAGACACATGTTAGAGTTAGAGGAACATGGAGAAGAGGATTTTAGAGAATATGTGACCTTTAATGTCTGATTTTATAGTAAGGTTATTTTATCTTTTCAGTCCCTACAGATCTCACTGATTGGTCCTTTAAATCATCTTCCACTTGTTTCATCATCGGCTCTGTTGGTGTGACTCGTCACTGAGTGTGTGTGTTTCTACAAATAAACATGAAGTAACAACTTGACTGCTGTTGTGAAAAGTTGAAGCTTGTTTTTTTATAGATAGAAGAAGAAATCCGTTACTGATCCCACGAGGGGAAATTCACTTTGACACCTTGTTGAGACGTGCAACACACACACACATGCTGAAATACTGTTGCTGCAAATTTTGCACATTTTGAGCCACTGTGGTTTAAAGTTTGTCAGACCTCGGGGGGCCCTCCTACTGGCCTGGGCCCCCGAGCAGTCGCCTTCCTTGCCTGTTGATGAGCAGCACACGTTTACCCACTCCTCCTCTGCCTTCATCCTGCAGTTGATTTACACTCTAAAAAAATCGGTGCTGCAGCCGTTAAATCGTGCAGAGAAGAAGACGGCGTCACTTCCAGCTGAATGGAGGATTAACGAGCTGACAGGCCTGGGAACGGCACCGCAGGCCGTAAATCCACCCCGGTCAGCCGACACGGTTCTCATGCCAGGACGCCGCTTTGAAGTGACCGGCGAGTAAATTAGCTGACATGAGCTGCGCACACACACAGGAGGTTTGGGTCTTAGTGTCTGTCCTGTGTGTGAGAGAGAAACATCTGTTTAACCGGCTGTAAAATCTTTTATGTGATAAAACGGTTGCTATGACGACCGGATCAAACTGATTTATCTCCCACATTCCTCAACATCTCTTGACTCGTGTTCAGTGCAGACGCAGCAGGACCAGAAATGATGTCTGTTTTTAATCCAAAATGTACAAAGCCTACATTACCCACAATGCAACAGGTTTGTTGATCATTCTCTTACATCAGCTGGTGATGTAGCCGGATGTAGCCTAGCAAGGAGATGAACTAGCAGCGAGCTTTAGGGGTCTCATAATACTTTTTTATAACTCGCCCCCTACTGAGCTTATACCGCCAATCAATGCTGACTCGAGTGACATCACCTGAGGAAAGCGGAGGCAGTAAACTGAGGCTTTTTAGGTCGGGTACAATCACTTCTATCTGAACCACTTCTCTTGCCCGCTTCCATCGCTGCAACACCTGTTGACCTGATAACTGCTCTCATATCTGGCAAACCGAGGGGCGTCCAAAACGGCCGTGTGGGGGGTGCCTTAAAAGCGCCTACCTTCTCTGGTCCAAACAAATCCAGAGCATTCAGGAGCAGAATCTAAAGTTAGAAGGAGGACATACTGGCTGCTGCATTGTTGTCAGAGAAGCCAGCACTTCAACATAGCATGTTTCCTTAATGATCAGATAGTAAGATACCTTTATCATCTCACTCTCTACACATCTTACTGGTTGGACCTTTAAATCTGCGACAAACTGAAGCAAAGCAAAAGTCGACATCTTTCTTTTTATTTTGTTCGTTTGGTTCCTTTAAACAGTAACACAACATCAAAACAGGAAGTCTAACAGGAGCAGGATTCAAACATAAATCAGAGTTTATGAACGTATCAAAGGTTTGAGATGTACAAAATAAAAACAAAGTCTCTATGCGTGCGCATTAAGGCGACATTAATGAGACCATTTTGTTGGGACTTAAAATCTCGATCCAGTAACCGTCAGGATCCTGGATGAAGGCCAGGTCCTTCATTTTACCTGAGGGGAGGGAGACATACTCACAGTTAGAACATGATTGTTCTCACTAAACATTCAAGCTTTGAGTCCAATAGTGTGTGAAAATGTCCAACATCAGGCTGAACATCAAACACACACGTACGTCTGTTTGAGTCAGAGCTCCACCTTCTGGTGAAAAAGTATATAAACTGGTGTTGTAGTCAAGACCTCCATAACCAAGACCAAGACATGCCTGAGACCAGAGTGCTCCAAGCCCATAAATATCCCTGAATAATCCAGAGACACATAAAGGTCTCACCTGAGTCCGGCTTCTTTACAAACGTCACTTTTTGCTCTTCAAACAGTTTACAGGAGGCGTAAACGTCAGGGACAGCGATTCCGATGTGACCTGAAAGGAGACACACGGTCTTTAAAAAAACATTCAAATCAAACAGATAAACTGATGAAAGAAGTTTAAACCATCGTGAACTTCTCACCGAATCCTCGCGGCTCGTTGTTCCCGTTGTGGTACGACAGACTTTCATCGAGCTCTGAGCCCCAGTTACTGACACACGGAGGAAAGATGACCCTCGTTACAAACAGACTTTCTACATTTCATTTATCAGAAGTTTTTATCAGCAGAGACGAACATCAGAGAGCAAGAACAACACAAACAAGGAGAGAGAGAGGAAGAGACAACAACAGGAAGTACAAACAAACAGCTTTAAGTCTGATTGGACACACAGGTGCTGACAGGAAGTGACCAGAGGCAGAGCACAGGTGCTGACAGGAAGTGACCTGAGGCAGAGCACAACATCGTCAGTTGTGCTTGAGAGTTCTAATCAGCATCAAAAACATCCTGAATATCATCATCATCAATAATATGGAGACCATCATCATTAAGTTAGTAGGTATTCATGAAAGAGCTGGGTCTTTAGCTTTTTCTTAAAGGTGCAGAGAGACTCTGCAGATCACATGGAGTTTGGAAGTTCATTCCACCACCGGGGGGCGACAGAGGAGAAGAGTCTAGTCAGAGACTTAGGACCCTGTTGGGAGATGGTTTTTTTCTGCTTTCTATACGTACTGTGTGAGCTCGATGGTGGCTCTGCGAGAAAACGTCCACGCCGTCCTCTCTTTAATGTCGGCCGGGATGTCTGATTTTTCCTCGTAACCCAGGAAATAAAGAGTGAACCTCATGGAGGGGAAGTCGATCTTCTGCAGCAAACTGGAAAACACAGACGAGGGGGAAGGTTTCCAGAATCATTTTGTTATATTTTACAGATATCTGACTTTGATTATGTGAATTTGTTGTTGCTCTAAATCGTGTTTCGTTGCGTTGGCAGTTTTTTATTCTACTAAACTTTGCAGCTAACAAAAGGACGTTGAGATTTGAATCATTCAGACAAACAGGTGTTGCAGGTTGAGCGTCAGACTCACGTCATGCCCAGGATTCGAGTGTAGAAGTTGAGAGATTTAGCCGGATCTTTGACCCTCAGCATCGTCTGCTGCATCATGTAATCCTGCACAAACAAAACAGACAGTGGGGGGGAATGAAAAGTTTGCAGCTTTAACGAGCGTTCAGCCTTTAGCGTGTCGTTTTGGCTGTCGTACATTCTGAGGTTCAAACCTCGTCTTTCTCTTCTTCTGTAAGTTGTGACATTTTTTGGTTACCACGGAGACACAAGGTTCATCTTAACTAAGTGGAAACCTTCAGTGTTGATAAATGAAGACAATGATGAAGTGAAAAAACCTGCAGTTCCTGGAGTGTCCACTAGAGGCTGGCTGTAGAAGCACAGGAAGTCACATACACACCCATTCTAAAAAGATAGTTAAGAGGTAGTAAACAGCAAGTAAACAACAAATAAACAAAAAGTAAACAGGTAGTAAACAGGAAGTGAACAGGGAGTAAACAGGTAGTAAACAGGAAGTAAACAACAAATAAACAAAAAGTAAACAGGACGTTTACTTTTAGTTAACAGGTAGTAACCAGGAAGTAAACAGGGAGAAAACAGGAAGTGAACAGGGAGTAAACAGGAAGTGAACAGGTAGTAAACAGGAAATAAACAAGAAGTAAACAGGAAGTTAACAGGAAGTGAACACGTAGTTAACAGGTAATTAACAGGTAGTTACCACGATGTAAACAGGTAGTAAACAGGAAGTGAACAGGGAATAAACAGGAAGTGAACATGTGGTAAACAGGAAGTAAACAGGTAGTTAACAGGGAGAAATAAACAGGTAGTAAACAGGAAGTGAACAGGGAGTAAACAGGAAGTGAACAGGTGGTAAATAGGAAATGAACAAGAAGTAAACAGGAAGTTAACTGGAAGTGATCAGGTAGTGAACAGGTAGTAAACAGGAAGTGAACATGTAGTTAACAGGTAGTAAACAGGAAGTGAACATTTAGTAAACAGGAAGTGAACACATGGATTTTTAGTCTTTTGCTTCAAACGGAGTGATGTAACAGCTGTTTCTGGTTAAAACACTTCTCTTTTCCAGAGTAACTGCAGACGGCTGCAGGTGAGGCTGTAATGTCTGATACATAGTGACTGACTGATCAAAGTGTGTCCTCTAGAAGTTGTTGTTTTTGTCCCTGACAGGCTCAGGTAGTGATTCTCAGAGTGTGACATCATGACAGGAAGGATCCCTGCAGAAAAAGATGAACTAGAAACAGCTGAGCCACCAGAGTCTGGGTGATACTTGTTAAACACAAGGTGTCTCCTTCCACAACGTTCCTTACAGAGATGATTTCAGCCTTTACAGGAGTATAAATCCTGCTCTGTGTGAGATTAATCCTCTCAGTGTGGAGCGGTTTAGCAGACTCTCTGTACAACATGTTAAAGTG